TGTTCATTCCTCCCAGTCGTGATGAAATCTGCATCCGGTTTAAAACTTTTTCTGGCTCTGTGAGTTTTTTACTCACCTCTCAGACGCTTGTTCCACATCTCTGGTCCGAGCGTGTGTCGTGTGAACTGTTATCCATCATAACAGTTTGGACCCTAGCGCCGCCTGTGACAGGAGGAAAGGCTGAAACGGTTCAGGCTGCTGGTGAAATGTGACATTCTCCACGACTGCGATGTTCACAAATAAAATAACAAAAGGTCCTCTGGTGACATTTCCAGGGCTGGGGTTGATAATTCAATTCAATTCAAGTTTATTTATAAAGCGCTAAATCACGACAAGAGTCGTCTCAAGGACCTTCACATAATAAACATTCAAATTCAGGTCAGTTCATTAAGCCAATCAGAAATAATGTTTCCTATATAAGGAACCCAGCAGGTTGCATCAAGTCACTGACTAGTGTCAGTGACTACAGGTGCTGGCCAGTAAATTAGAATATCATCAAAAGGTTGAAAATATTTCAGTAATTCCATTCAAAACGTGAAACTTGTACATTATATTCATGCAATGCACACAGACCAATGTATTTCCAATGTTCATTACATTTAAATTTGATATTCATAAGTGACAACTAATGAAAACTCCAAATTTGGTATCTCAAAAAATTTGAATATTCTGAAAAGGCTGAATATAGAAGACACCTGCTGCCACTCTAATCAGCTGATTTACTCAAAACACCTGCAAAGGCCTTTAAAAGGTCCCTCAGTCTTGTTTTGAAGGCACCACAATCATGGGGAAGACTTCTGACTTAACAGCTGTCCAAAAGACAATCATTGACACCTTGCACAAGGAGGGCAAGACACAAAAGGTGATTGCTAAAGAAGCTGACTGTTCGCAGAGCTCTGTGTCCAAGCACATTAACAGACAGGCGAAGGGACGGAAAAAATGTGGTAGAAAAAAGTGTACAAGCTCTAGGGATAACCGCACCCTGCAGAGAATTGTGACGACAAACCCATTCAAAAATGTGGGGGAGATCCACAAAGAGTGGACTGCAGCTGGAGTCAGCGCTTCAAGAACCACCACGAGGAGACTCATGAAAGACATGGGATTCAGGTGTCGCATTCCGTGTGTCAAGCCACTCTTGAACATGAAACAGCGCAAGAAGCGTCTCGCCTGGGCCAAGGACAAAAAGGACTGGACTGATGCTGAGTGGTCCAAAGTTATGTTTTCTGATGAAAGCAAGTTCTGCATTTCCTTTGGAAATCAAGGACCCAGAGTCTGGAGGAAGAGCGGAGAAGCACAGAATCCACGTTGCATGAGGTCCAGTGTAAAGTTTCCACCGTCAGTGATGGTGTGGGGTGCCATGTCATCTGCCGGTGTTGGCCCACTCTGTTTCCTGAGGTCCAGGGTCAATGCAGCCGTCTACCAGGAAGTTTTAGAGCACTTCATGCTTCCTGCTGCTGACCAACTTTATGGGGATGCAGACTTCACCTTTCAACAGGACTTGGCACCTGCACACAGTGCCAAAACCACCAGCACCTGGTTCAAGGACCATGGTATCCCTGTCCTTGATTGGCCAGCAAACTCGCCTGACCTTAACCCCATAGAAAATCTATGGGGTATTGTGAAGCGGAGGATGCAATACGCTAGACCCAACAATGCAGAGGAGCTGAAGACGACTATCAGAGCAACCTGGGCTCTCATAACACCTGAGCAGTGCCACAGACTGATCGAGTCCATGCCACGCCGCATTACTGCAGTTATTGAGGCAAAAGGAGCCCCGACTAAGTATTGAGTGCTATACATGCACATTCTTTTCATGTTCATTCTTTTCAGTTGGCCAACATTAGAGAAAGAAACATTTTTTCATTGGCCTTTAGAATATTCTAATTTTCTGAGATACCAGATTTGATGTTTTCATTGGTTGTCACCTATAAATATCAAAATTAAACGTAATAAACATCGGAAATACATTGGTCTGTGTGCATTGCATGAATATAATGTACAAGTTTCACGTTTTGAATGGAATTACTGAAATATTTTCAACCTTTTGATGATATTCTAATTTACTGGCCAGCACCTGTATACAGCAATCCTCATACTAAGCAAGCATAAAGTGACAGTGGAGAGGAAAACTCTCTTTGAACAGGAAGATAAGGTGTTACTCACTGTCAGAAACAGGTGATGAAACTATTTATTTGATGCTTCTTGGATACAAATCTTATAAAACTGGAAAACCTAAACAACAAAAGAGGTTTGTTGGTAAAGTGCTTGAAGCATTCACCATGAGGTGCTTTAATTGATCAGCAGGGGGCGGTACTGATCTGGACATCATTATTACTGCCGTTTCATGTCTTCCTGGGATTTATTTCATTAAACTAGTTGGTTTTCCAAGCGTATCAAACTTTTATCTATTTATCTATCTGGTTGTTTGTTTATTTGTTTGTTTATTAGTTAGTTTGTTTGTTTGTTTCTTTGTTTGTTTGTTCGGTCAGTCGTTTGTTCATTTTTGCTTTTTATGTTTATCTACTAATCTAAAAGGTTTTATTGTTTTTCTTTTCTGCTTTTTATCTGTTTTCAATTTTTATTTCATCATGATGATGATTTTTTTTATTGTTGCACAAAAAAGCAAAAAGGCAAAACGAACTGTAAACACTAAAAACAGCCTATCTAAACACATTTTGCACTATGAATGTTTCTAAAAGACGTTTCAAACAAACACATTTTGCTGCAAACGTCCCTCTACAGAGTTTATGTTCTAAGAAATGAAAATTTGCATCTAAACAGCAGTTAAAGTCTGCTTTCTTTGACGTGTTAAACAGGATCGCAGGTCACCTCGAGGTGTTTTACATGCACAGGTACCTTTGTTCCTCATGCATCAGATAAGCAGAGAACAGCTGTGGGGTTGATTCTGATGGTGGCATTTACGTTTGGTTCCTGTGAAGACACAACAATACCTTTAAATGAGCTCTGGACGCATAAACAGCTCTGTCTGAGGGCAAGCGTGGATGTGGGGAGTCCAGAATCTACCTGAGTAGAGAAAAGGACTTTACCTGTTAAGCACCGCTGCAAGCGTCTGATTGGGTGTGTTGAAGCAGGGAAACAACTCTAACAAGCTCCAGGGCCAGGACTGGGGCGTCCTGGCTTTAAAGATGGCAGCAATAAGTCTAGCAGTTAGCCTATCACTCTGAATTAAACTACTTATCTAATACTGGTCCAGATTATCTCAACTGAGCGGTTTATCGCCCTGTCCTGTGTTTCGGTGCCACTCGTTTGAGTTTCAGCCCGAGCCAATCCACTCCGCTTTTCTTCCCTGATGAACGAATGAATGAATTTGCAGATGCAAACTGCGCTTGCTGCCTTCCTTGTTTGTGCGTTGTGTGATGATGGATGTAATCCAGAGAGCCCTGTGCACACACATTTATTCACACGGCTCTTTCAGACTTCATTTCAGCCCCCTTAAAGTCGCCCGTTAATCAGTAGTTCGTCTCTTTAGCGTGGCAGAAACCTTCCCCTGCTGCTGGATCACTTTATCCACCCCACACACAGGGAGGCCACCCCTCACCCTCGCTCCCAGGATAAATCCAGCCCATTCCCACTGGGGTGCATTAGCATACAGATGTTAGACTGAAAAGGGAAAACGGGGACTCACAATGGAGCTGCATGGCTGGGGGGGAGGGAGGGTTCGAGGGGCTAGACGGGGATGGCCCCTTGGCCTTTTAAGGGCTTACAGAAGCTCACACACACACACCCCTGGTATTGAATGGTAAGTAGCCATGGGGGGGTTGTGGGAGTTTGCTCCAGCTTCACTCTGATATTATTCATTCACCGGAGAGAAATCGTCAGCCTTGCACGGCTGAATGCCAGCACACACAAACGGGAGCCCGGATGCCTCCCTCTCCTGCGACAGAGCGAGAGACGCCGCTCGGTTGAATCAGCAGAAAAACGTCAGATGTTCTGGACGGAGCTTGGTCCATGTTGTGTGTCTCAGGCAGCTTTCTGCAAACCATTAACATACCGAGCATAACAACAAGCTGCCAGGAAACTGTTTCTGTGTGAAGAAATGAGCTTGTCTGCTTGTAAATGCGCTCTTGTTTAGGGAAATCCACTCTACTTCCTTAGTGATTGATGAGCTAATGGCTAGTTAACACAGTCATTACCAAAGCATATTGCTTTCATGTTAGAACACAATCAGTCTTCTGAATTTGGTTTTGACACACCTTTCGTTATTCATGCCAGGATTATTATTTCTGATGAGAATAAAATCAACGCTGCAGCCAAACGTAACGTTCTGGTGCATCTGTCCGGGGGTCCGCTTCATCTAGAATCTGTTAGGATGCATCCATGCAGGAAGTCTTCATGAACTGATCTGATGTTCAGGCGACGGGAGCTGTTTCAGACTAGCTGTTAGCGCGTCGGTCCTGAGATCTGACAGCTGTGGTTTTAAACCAAACACACTGTTGCTTCTAATTTTGGATTTAGATTATGAGACAAACAAACACACAAACACACGCAGGAGAGGACCTCAACTTCTGCTCCACTTTGTTTGAATAGATGGAAATCAGTCACAATTATCTCAGCCACCTATTGTGTGCTGCGAGTCTTTGTTTGAGCATCTGTTGCCCAAACATTCTCCTCAGTGTCACTCACCCTAAATTGGTTTATTCGGATGAGCTGCAACAAACCTCCGTCCTCCTCCCACACGGCGCAGCATGCAGGGAGGCGAGGGCGAGGAGAGGGGAGGGAGGGAGCTTTTGTTGCGTCCGCAGATGATCGTAAAGGCCTCAGAAACACGCTTTAAAAGGACGCTCGTGGGAACACTTTGGTTTTTGGGGATGCTAAAGTTTATTGTTGTTTATAAAGACAGCGGGTCAAAGTTTCCACATCCCAGCTCTTCGGTTGGCCCAGCTGAGTTTTAGTCATTTACCCCGATTAGTTTGCACATTTAGATCGTCCCTTAAAACAAAATACACTTTATGCACACTGTGAACAAAAATAACACCGTAATTTTTCCAAAAGACTTTTATTTTGAAATAAAAATTGACATATATTAAGATAAAAAAAGGTTATCGACATAACCGCTGGAATGTAAACAATGGATGCATTTAAATTACGTGAAAAAACACAATATAGGCTATCAAACACAATAAATAGGACTTTAATTTAACAAGTTATTTAAAACATCTTGCCGTCGAGTCGCAAACGAGCCGCAGCAACTAGAAGCGTCTCTGACTTCCTCCAGGCAGGTTGAGCCGATTACAAGAGAAAAGAGGAACTTCCTGTTTGGATTTGGCCTGCTGCCAGCTAGCTGGTGTGCAACAGAGGTCCATCTACAAACACATTGTCATGTAGCTACCACTTCTACACGCCCACACCGCCGTGACGCGATGGAGCGGTCCAAACCCTCCACGTCCATCTGCAGCGGCTGACTCATGGCGTGGACCACTCTTCCACCATGACTTGCTCCGTGTGAGCTGGGAAAAAAAATCTGTACAATCAGGAAATGTGAGGCTTGAAGGAGAGGAGAGCGGACTCGTTGGGTTTTCCCACCTCCCGGCTGCCGGTAAAACCCAAGCGAGCCCCGTTTCCCACCAGGCCCGTTAGCCGATAAGGCAACATAAACACAGAATGCCAAAATGATTTTCCTCCTCCTAACTTTCCCTCCTCTCCTCAAGCATTTAAAGCTTCTGGATGGAAAACACGAATCCCAAAATAAAAGTAAAGCGTTCTGCCATCTTTTCCTCCAAAAATGCACAAAAACACAAAATCAAACCAAAAACATGCACAAAAGCAATAAATAGATCTAAAACGTGTTAGGCTACGGTATTAATCATACACTCTGGATGGGTTTCCTGCAGCTCTAGGTTAGGAGAACTTTGGTAACTAGAGACTCTGGCTTTCTCTACTTGTGCTATTCTTGCTGCTTCACAGCTGACAAATACAATCATGTGGGTGCAGCCAATCGACTAATCATTCAGACAGCTGACGAGCATCAAAACATCTCCCTCTTGGATGAACAACACGCACGCGGAGAGTCCTAAACGTGATCAACATTCCAGTCATGCAGATTTTAGAGGAATAAAACAAAAAAATGTGGATAAAAATCATCAAATGGATCCTATTTTTTAGTAAAAAATAATGTAAAAATCCTTCAGAAATCAGGGTACACAGAATTCTCACACAGAACGTTCCACAAAGCAGGAATTACCCTAAAACATGGGTATACAACAGTATACAGCAGTAACAATGGCATCAAACAAAAAGGCTAAAGGTATCAACAAAACGGGAAGAGTCGGCTAAAACTGGACAAACGCGGAGCAGCGCTACAGCTGCTTGGCTGAGAAATGCAATATGCACAAAGATCAGTACGTTTACTCAGCTGGATCCAGGAAGGAACTGCAAGTCTAACGTTTTAATCCCCCGTGAGCGCCGCTTGGGCCACATGTGGATAAAACGTTAGAGCGTCTGTCCCTGATCAACCTCAGCTGCCAAGTAAAGCTTGTTCTCATTCGTCTGAGATGGAGAGGCGGCTGAAGATGGGCAGGCGCCGGCCCTCGAAGCTCGGCGACTCGGCGTCGCTGGAAGAAGAGCTGAGGGAGCAGGAGGACGTAAAGCCCTCCTCAGAGAGGGAGTCGGCCGAGGAGCAGCGCTGGAGGCCGAGGCAGCCGCTCAGGGGGGCGGCTGGCTGCTGAGGGAGGTGCAGCGGGAGCTTTTTAGACGGGAGGGCAGATGTTGAACACTTGCAGTCAGTCACAGCGTAGAAATTGCGAGCCAGCGAGCCTGCAAGCTCGCTGATGCCAGAGGAGAAGGGATAGGGGCAGAGCTTCGGGGCACCAGGCTCAGGGACGAGGGGGGACAGGAGCTCTGGGCTCCCCGTGGAAGAGGGAGGGGGAGAGACAGAGGAGGCCCGTGTGAAGAGGAGGGAGGATGGGTGAGACTCCTCTACAGGTTGGAAAGTGTGTGGAGAGGAGAAGCCTGCGAAGCTGAGGCTGTGCCTCAACAGAGGAGGCCTCAGCTTGTGCCTCTGAGGCGCAGGGGCGCCGGCGGCGTGCACCTCGTCTGCGTTGTGGATGAAGTGGCAGCGGGCGCCGTACGGACAGAAGCCGATCGTGTGGAAAGTGCGGCACGGCTCTGTCTTGTACTTGGGGTGCCTGCTGAGACCCCTCAGCTCGTCCAGGCCGTGGGCAAACTGGCACTTGGCGCCGTACTTGCAGGTCCCGCTCTCCTCAAAGGTGCGGCAGAGTTCGGTCTTGTAGCGACTGGAGATGTGAGGTGGCGGTGCCAGCTGCCTGGGGGAAGACGAGGGCACGGGGGAGGCCAGGGAGGTGTTGCTGAGGCACAGCCCCGGTGGGGGCAGCAGCAGGGGTGGAGACACGCCGGGCGTTTTGTCCTCTCTGGTTCCCAAGCTACCGACGTTCCCCTCGATCATGCTGACGGAGCGGTCCACCCTGAAGGGGATGTGGCTGAGCGAGGAGCGCGGGAACACGCGGTTCCACTGCTGGTTGGAGGCCAGGCTGAGCCCCCGGCAGGCCGACTCCAAGGCCTCGGAGCTGCTGCTGTTGAACTTGGAGTTGGGAAGCGTCACGGGACAGAGCGAGTGGCGTCTCTGGAAGCCCAGAACCTTTGGGCTGACTGGAGGGCCGTCTGCTGCATCCAGGCCACGGAAACTCTGTCACACAAAAGAGGAGCGATGTGAGCGAGGAGGACATGATCAGGCGAGTTCATCAGCGTGAGCTCCAAACGCGTTTCTCAAACCAACCAAACGGTTTTCAACTCAAACTTTTGCTGCTTTTAGCTGACTGTTGCTGAGAAATGCTCGTGTCCAAATCTGCTGATCCACAAAATCAAAGGAGCACAGTGAACGTCCGTAACTCAGATTTATAGCTTATTGACTTCTAGCTGCTATTAACAATCAGGAGTTTATTATTTATGTTAATTGGAGATATGGAGATCATCACGTGGTCCCGTCATGGTGACCCCAACTTCTAAGCTGCTCAGAAACATAACTTAAACATGGCGTCACGTTGATGCTGTTCATTAGAACTTCTGCACCAAACCAGAAACCTTCTCCCTGCTTCTCCAGCCTGTCTCCTCCCGGTTCAGACGCGTGAAGTTTACCTTGCAGAATTCCTCATCCAGTTCCAGGAAAGGTGTCAGGAAGTCAGAGGGCATGGTTCGCTCCACCGTCTTCAACTCTGTGAAGGAGCTTGGTGCGTGACCGAGCTGTGGAGGGCAAACTTTCCTGGAGTTGAAGAAAGGAAACGTGAAGGTGATGAGAGAAGAATCCAACCGGTCCTGTTGTGGGAAAAGTCAGAGCTGCAGGGAAAACCAGCAACGTGTCTGCAGGAGGAAAGTTCCTCAACCATCTGCTGGAATCTGCTTAAATAGTTGGGGAAACCCACCCATCCACCCCCCCTCGTCCTGTCTGAAGGGGAGGTTGTGTGTGTGTGTGTGTGTGTGCGTGCGTGTGTGAGCGGGGGTGGGGTTCTGCATTGTAATAGTGTGCTGGGGGGCAGGGTGGGTGTGCCAGGAGGGGAGGGGGCTGAATGGAGCTACTTTTCTACCCATTCAAGACCAGATCCGTCAAGAACATTCGTCTCCTTCTCCCACCGCCCCTCATCTTTGTCATCCAGCGCAGGAGCCACCTCATAAACACGGTCACGCACTTTCTGGAGCTGGAAAGCTTAAAATGTGCAAAAAGGGGTTTGTTTTCCCCGTCGGACGCCTGAAGGCGGGAAGAAAGGTGACAGCAGCAGGATTAAAAACAGCTGGACGTTTGTTTGGTTTTTATTTATTCCAGGAAGTTGGATTCATAAACAACAGGTCGGGGCGTTTTAGGGTCTCGGAGCATGAAACAAACCTGGAAGTCTAAAATAAGTTAGTTTAACAGCAACTTTATTGTTTTGTTTTTATCTTCATAATTCATGTCAACAAGGTTTACCAAATAAACAATAAAACACAAGATATTTTCTTGAATGTGAGGATTTGTTTTTGGTCTTTTTTCTTCAATCCTTCAAAATAAGAGCTTGAAACAAACCTTTTTAAACGTCAAAAGTTTATCAAAATCATTTATTTTTGTAAAATTGCTGCAGTTTTTGATTCCTTTTAGGTTTTATTCAACGTTTAACACCTCCATGCCTCCTGAATTGATGCCCCGCTTGTCCAACCGATCCAGACTCTGTGTGTGTGTGTTTGAGGGAATTTTGTTTCTCAGCTGTTTGCTTCAGTGTGGTTTGTTTGACTGGAAGCTTCCACAGGTGTGATCGAGGTATGAGTCACCTGTAAAAGGAGACATGGTGCTCCACCCACTTTGTAAACCAGCTGGCAACAAGTTGGAGACACAGGATGGTGAAAAGAGCATGTCGAGTTTGAGTGGGAACGTTTTCATCCTGGTCATGTGTCCTGTCATCCAGCGTAACCATAGCAACCATACCACAACTTTTATCAGAGGAGCTGACACTTTCAGAAAGATTCATTGTTCAGTTGTGTAAAAAAAGTTTTAGAAAATATTTTTATTTAGAAAATGTCTTAATGAGCTTCATGCTTGTGAAGGTTTTCAGTCCTTCATGAAGTTTTTTGGAGCTCATTTGGAACTAAAACCAATAATTCTGCTGCAGAAACCATCTTCTGTTCGTCTGAAACGTCCAACAGGAAGTTTGTGAGCGACGGTTTACAGACAAACTGTATAAAACACAACAGACACGTCTTATCACAGCACTGCACTGATACAGTCGTTGGTGCGTGTGTGTGTGTGCACGTGTGTGTGCGTGAGTGTGTGTGCCTATGTGTGTGTGTGTGTGTGTGTGTATGTGTGTGTGAGTGTGTGTGCCTATGTGTGTGTGTGTGTGTGTATGTGTGTGTGTGTGTGTGTGTGTGCACATGTGTGCATGTGCGTGAGAGTGTGTGTGTGTGTGTGTGTGCGCGCATGTGTGCATGTGCGTGAGTGTGTGTGCGTGTGTGTGTGTGCCTATGTGTGAGTGTGTGTGTGTGTGTGTGTGCGTGAGTGTGTGTGCCTATGTGTGTGTGTGTGTGTATGTGTGTGTGTGTGTGTGTGTGTGTGCACATGTGTGCATGTGCGTGAGTGTGTGTGTGTGTGTGTGTGTGTGTGTGTGTGCACATGTGTGCATGTGCGTGAGTGTGTGTGTGTGTGTGTGTGTGTGTGTGTGCACATGTGTGCATGTGCGTGAGTGTGTGTGTGTGTGTGTGGTTTCCTCCCTGAGGTTGGCTGTTTTATAACAGACTTTTGTTTTTGCCTCTGCATCTATCTACCCCCCCCCCACCCCCCCTCCCACCCACACATTCTTGTATTTGCTCTGATCGAGGGGGGGGGGGGGGGGGATTCCAGTTACCTCCCACCCCTCCTCTCCTCCCCTGTCCTGTGATGTTGCGGTCCGGCCTCCTGAGTGACGCAGCGACTGAAACGGTTCTTGTGTAAACAACATTTATCTGTTGGTGCATCAGGCCAGGAGGAGCGATGGTCGGCCATGTTTCTGCCTTTGTTTCTCTGCAGGCTATCCAGGGCCATCTAAGTTATTGAGTCTGGCCCTCTAGCACGGTAGATCCACAGATCTACTAAATAAATCAATAAATAAAAGCTTGTTTTCAGATTTTTACTCAGGTGAGCCCTACCCACCGTTACAAAATCCAGCTGAACTGAATCATTTTTGAAGTTAAGTAGTTTTTACTTATTTTTGAACCAAAGACATGAAATAATCAAAGATGTTGATAAAAAACTGCTTTAATCTTTAGGTTTTATGTTTCATAAAGAGTGTTTTTTTTTTACTGGTTCTGTTGTTTCATGGGCCTTTTCAGTCTGATTGACTTTAATCAGAGATTTAAACAGGCAGGGATTGGAAATGTGTCGATGGGTTTCATCAGAATCAACCACGTCCATCACGAGACGTTTTACTACACAAGAGACAGTTTCCCGTTGGGATGGATGAGGGGGATCTGGACCAACGTTCCCACCCCACTACAGCACCATGCTGGTTAGCGCTCCGTTTGCCTGTGAATGTGACTTCCCACGGCAGTTAGCCAGAGTCTGGGTGGAGATGGAGAGGAGGGAGGGGCAGGCTTATAGAGGCTGATATAACACAGTATCACAGCGCAGGGCCGTTGAGTTTTACGGTCTGCAGCATGTTGACAGCAGAAACAAATACAGGATGTAACAGCTGTCTGTTGGCATGGCCGACACGACCGGCCGAAAGAGTTTCTTTCATGAAGAAAACATAAAATAAAAGCATAAAAACTGCAAATGCAAACCCACTCCCAGACTCTGCCTCACCGTCGTAAGCAGACACACAGCCTGGTTAAGGCCCCCAGTCTGAGCTCATCTTGGCCTCTTTATTGAGTCCAGCACGACAAGAGCTCCATTGTCCTGAAGCTTCTCCATATGTCCTCATATTCATCACGCTGAAGCACAAAACGGGCTCAAAGGATCTGGTTCAATTGTCCTCAGTGGCGTCAGAGGATGAGTTATCCTCCGGAACCTCGCCCGGCTTCGCTGTCGTCAGATAAAAACACCGTTTTTACAAGTTTGCAGCTTTTTGTCTAAAATCTGTTTTCATTCATCCGAGTCAGAGCGCACACCAAACCCAGAGGCAGAGAGGGAGAACTTTTTCTGGATCAAAGTTGAAAATACCTTTCATGGGATAACGGGTGAAACCAGCCTCTCATGGCAGGAGTTCCACAAGGTTCCGTTCTGGGATGAGTGCTCTTTCATGCTTTTGGGTGAATGGCTAAAGCTCAGTTCACACAGCAAGGTGATAAAATTCTTACCCCTTACATGACGATGTGAAACGTTCGGATGCACCACTTTTGGTCCTACTGTGTGTGCACGGCAAAAACTACACACTGCACACGGATCGATTTCACACACCAACATTCCCCGCCCGAAAAGACCGGAAATCTCACCAAACCTCTCGACATCAAACAAACACGGTGGGGGAGGAGGTGCAGCATGTTTCCATCACCTCTGTGTCTGACCGGCTGCTCGTCACATCAAAAACGCTCCAGTACCAGGACAAGACGATCCAACATGCCGAATATCCCTTTCAACCTTGGAGACTGGATGTGAACAGCGGCTCCACCGTAGAACTGTGACCCAGAAAAACAGAACCTGCAACGACGAGAGCAGCTGAAGAAGGCCGTGAACCGGCCAACATCACGAGTGTTTCAGGTGCTGATCTTATTAGGTCTAATGGGAATATCCGGTGTCGGTACAGGATCGGCTCGGGAGCTAGATCTGCTCAGGGTCCTTCGACTGCCGATGACGTCAAAGTACGGCAAACCCACTCGGACAAAATACACTACACATCTTTATACTGTTGGAAAGAATTTAGCAGTTTCGTTATTAAAATAATGTTTCTTAAGACGTAAGTTTGTGTTTATAATGGTATTTGTAAAATAAAACACTATATTGTATTCATAATGTTGAACTCCTCTTTGAGCACATCCCTTGAAGGATCATAGGTATTAGCAACACCTGTGAAATTGTATTTGCAGGAAAGAAGTGTGTCCCGTTTATTGAAGTATTTTGTGTTTAGAGTTTTTGACGTCTTGTCCATGCGTACTTCAGTTACGCTCATAGCTGCTAGCCAAAACTCTGGAGTTAAAAGTTTTCTGGCTTTACTAAAATACCTGTCTGTACTTATTTGATTGATGGTAGTTTTACTTTCTATTAGACTCCAAATGTAATCATTCGGCACGTTTCTAATTCATAATTTGTAAGAATGTAATCGTGATATTAGCATTAGCATTCCTATGGGTTTCTCCATGTATATTAGCATTGCGCTAACCACTCGCTGCCAAATTGCAGCCTTTGCGATTAGAAAATCTCCTTTTGTCACATCGCAATTTAATTGCACATGCAGTTAATCGTTCAGCCCTAATATACATGCAGCTCTATGCTAAAAGTGTATTTTAAAGAGGAATGATGGATTTCTTTGTAAAAGCCTGGACCAATGTAACGTGATAACAACGTAACGTGATTACGTAATTCCGTGAGGTTCATGTTCAGCCAATCAACTACTTTGACGTCATCGGCAGGCGACGGACCCCGAGCCGATTGCACCCGAGCAGATCCTGTACCGACACCGGGACGACTTGTTTCGTGGTGCTTCCGTTTAAAAACCCAAAGCCCAGAACGGTTTTTATTAGAGCTAAAACCTCAGAGGTGCTGCTTTGGGTTTTAGGTCCTGCTCTAATCCTGATCGGATGGATTCAGGTGTTTGAAGTTTTATAATTATCGTGCTGATTTCCTCTGAAGAACTTTGTGAATCTATTATTGAACAAGGCGCCTCACGAGTAAAGCTGAGTTGAGCTGTGCAAAGCAACGTTGTTCCAACTCCGTGTTTCGTCTCCCTGAGCTTCCTCTCCTCTGACGTGTCTGGACGGCGAAGGATGAATCCGTGCTGCTCCTGGAAGTCTGTGGAGCTCATCGTCCCCCGAGGTGTTCTTCCACTT